TTATTGTTGAAAATAGTGCTTCTTGTCATGTTTGTACAGTTATCTAGACAGAAATAAATTTCATTCATTCAAGTAAACTGGAATGTATATTCTACAGTAGATATCTGAAAACACAATACACTGTAAAAGTTTCTTCAAACCCACCATCTTCAAGCTCTTACCTGAACAGAAGTTTTGCAAACTAACTACAATGCAGTTCAATCAGGAATTTGGATTCTCTAGTGCCCTTAAGAGATTGGGTAGACTCATTTCAAATCCAGATCACCCAAGCACTTCCACATTTATACAAAACATATGGATTTCACCATTTTGTATGCAGTCCAGTCTTCTTCAGTTCTTCTTGTTTATTGCCATTAAGAAGCTTCACAGTCACGGCCTTCTTCCACTGAGCACATGAGACAGCCATTAGGGCCACTGGCAAGCATGACACTCATTTAATAAAAAGGTTCTGCATCACAGATAAAAAACAAAACATCACTGTGGAACACAAAAACAGAGGGGTCACAAAGTGTGGAACACAAAATGTTATAAAATACTTCGAACAGACAAGAGAACTTCGAAAACATGTCACTGTGTGTCTACGTAAGCCATGTTGTTTGAAGTACAGTTGAAAATACGGTAACTACAGTTTGAACACAGGATATCAAGCAATGTGTTTCAGCAGCGACATGGAAATCACCTGTGTCTTAACTAGTAAGTCTGAGTGCTTGAAGGCAGCTTGAATCCATGAAGCAGGGAAACGCAAATGTGTGCATTATTTAAGATTGTGCAGGATGGACCTGAGGTTGAGGCGGAGGAAGGCGTGTGCATGGTTGGTTTTGTGATAAAGCTCTTGTAACTGGTGGTGGAGGGAGGACAGCTCAAACAGACGACAATTCTTCCTGCACAAAACAAAATAAAAAGGAGACAACCACCTGTCAGACATTCAAAGAAACATACTGTATGTGAGTCACTCTTATCTAGTACTCCACTAGTGTACTCCAGCTAGATAGCTAATTACTTCTAGTTTTTGATGATGATGATGAGCAACTGAGTCCAGGAAATGCATCACTAAGAAAACCTCTTCACATGCACACTGTGAAAGTAACACATTTTGAAACATGTGTTGGCTTCAGCACACGTGCAAGATCAAACGTATATACTGTATTGCAGCTCAGATTCCATATTCATCTGCAGGTTCACAGAATTTAACAATGGTCTGTGGCAGCTCAGAGGAACAAAGTACAAACCCACTATAAAGCTTTATTAATATATACACTGGATACAATTCAAAAGGAGAAAACGCTCTTGGAACAGACAGTATTACACTGGAAACATGAGTCTTGAGACTCAGACTTCTATTTTCTGACTTGTGAACATCTCTGGGCTGCATATGCTCAAGCCTGCAGGTATTTACTACCCAGGATCAGATGTGTTAAATCTTATTCAGGGTGTGATTTTATCAGCATGGAGATCACCGTGTCTACCTAATGCTGGAGAGCTTATGCAGTAGGATCGAGAGCTTCTCCAGTGATGGGAGCTCCAGACAAGGACGTTTAATGAGCTGGGACGCCGTCTGGAAAAACTCCTCACAGCTACACGCCTCCAGGAATGGATTTAAGTAGCCTACATGGACACAAACACAAGCACACTAGAACATTATTAAGAGAATTTCTCTGTTGACCAATCCGTTTTTGTCCAGTGTTTAAAACTTCATGCAAACAAACCATGAAGACACTAACAATCAAAGTGAGTGAGACGAGGTCACAGATGCTGGTCAGAGAGATTCTGCGATGACTGTATGTAAAAGAGCCTCCATGCTGTCAGTTAACTCTGACTTTCCCTTCATCAAACCCAAACCTCAGACACAGAGAAAAAAAGAGACAATAGCATCACTCTCCACACAGATGAGATGATTTTTAAAATTAATAACAGCAGATATCCACCTTATAGTTTTAAAAAGCATCAATTCCCAGTCAACAACCATTTGTTTCTACTAAAGGCACATTCCAGCTCCTTCTATAAAAAGCAACTCTGTTTTAAACAGAGGGAATACAGTCAGAGCCTGGGGGGGAATTTTTGAGCTGGTACAGAGGTTTTACTGGCATCAAATCACAGCAGACGATTGGACATGGAAGAGCAGGTTCACATAAGAAACGATAAGACAGGTAGAACCTGATAATAAAAGGAGGATAAAGCAGGAAAGGTTAGTTTGGTCAGCAATAACATCAACTCCCCTCAGGATTATAAACCTACCATAGAGAAGTTACCATATGTTACTGACATGACTTTAATGTATTAGCATACTTTTACAGTTTTTCTTTTATTTTGATACAAGTGAAATTAAAAAGTGTTTAACTAGTGAACATTCAGTGTAATGTCTGCTGATAGGAGCTGGACAACATGGCTGTTGGTCACCCTGCTAATCCTGTATCTGAGCAGAGTTCTTCAGTCCAAACTCCAGGAGCCTGACAAATGTTTGTAGAACTGATACAAACGCTGCCAAGACTTCTTAATGTGTGCTATGTTGTACACATATGTGGCGGTAATGGATACAAGACACAGAAATACAGACACATTCCTCATGTCTGACGGCTAACACAGGTTCTGTGACACATCATAAAGTAAGAACAGGGGTACAAGGTTCATTTCTAAAGAGATTTATCCAGGTCTTAAACTGTAACACCATCAAAACATATAATGACAAATACTTTTCTACTATGGCGAGCATAGAAAGACTGCCCACACATGTACCCACAAAGACACACAAACACACTCAGAGTAGGTCCATATGTGACTGTGGAAGTTGAATCCACCCTGTGAAGCAATTTGGTAGTCAACATACCCACCGTTTACCAGATGTCAAATCCAGTAAACCCCTGTTACTGATTGTATTTGTGTACATGTGTGTTGATATGGTCAACTGTATTTTTATGCTATTCAAGAAAAGTGTTATGCACCTGGTAGAGAATGTGACTGAACTTTATACAAGCAGTCAAGCTGTCACAGTGACACTCTGACACAGTTCTCCTGAAACACATACACACACACAGCTCCAGCCGCAGTTGTCTCTTGCATATGGCTCTGCTATGTATTAGCATACAGCAGTCTTAAATGACGTGGCTCATTACCCTAATGAACTCACTGTTCCATGGAAACACACTGCAGCTGGTCTCTCCACCTTTTTCTCTGCTGTCAAGTCTTTTGTCTTTCTAGAAACAGAGCCAGGAGGTGGTGGAGGTGCAAGGTGTTATGCACACAGCTTCTAAATCTAACACTTGACCAATGCTTATGAGTTGGGTGAGCTCAAAGAAACCACGACTTTTCACATGTGGTTTTTATGTAGGGATGAGAGGGAGATGCTGCAGGAGGAGCAGGTATAAATCAAAAACAACAGTGACAGTAAAGACAGTCTGGGTCAGAAGAGTGATCACAGCAGCTGATGGCGGCACGTATGCACACAGTGGCCCGGGGCCCCTTGGCTCCAAACAAAATTTCGTTGTATGTGTCACAATGTTACAATGACAATAAAATAAAGCTTCTTCTTATAGGGCTATGCCAACAACCTTGGCCATGGGAACATGTTTCAACTGGGGGATGCTGGTGAGATAGCCACCACCCTAAACATAATGGACATACACTACCATATTTTTCTATGAAAGCAATAATAATCATGTAGGCTAATTAAACATAAACAAAATACAGGCTACACACAGTTCTAATTAATAGAGATGTTACACTAATTTTCTATATTCAAACTGAAGCTGGGTATTAAGCTGATGTACATAATGATTTCTTTATTTGAAGCCTGACGTGGAAACCTAATGGTTATCACTCTTGATACAGTCATTACATAAGACTGATGAGTACTGCACCATAGTCATCTGACATATGCCTACTTACGAGATTGCTCAGTGAGCTGCATCAGGATGTCTATAGGTGTGTGTAGGCCTCCACGGCCAGCCCGTAACACTGACAGCAGCACACACACTCCTCCGTAGTGTATAAACAGGCCTCGGCTCTCCACAGACATGAGATCGGTATGGAGGATATCCAGAGCCTGGGCCACTACATCAGCTGCAGATAGGGAGAGACATACCGTATGTACAGTACATACAGAAACGCTTGATCATGTTTTAAATTGGTGTAAAGTCACTAAACCTCAAGTTGAGTCTCAAGTCCTCAGTGTCCGAGTCACCAAAGAATATTCCAAATCGAGCCCCCGTTACCTGAGTTCAAGTCCTCAAGGCCTACATTAAACACAATTGACACAGCTCTCACCATTGCAAAAGGAGTGTGACACAACAGTCGAACAGATGTCTGGACTCCTGCTGTGTGATCAAGACCATATGTTTTGGATTATGATGTCTCTGTGCAATAACAGCAAGGCTTTGGAGGTAAGAACCCACGGATCTGCTAGCATTTTCTTATTCAATGCTTATGATGCAAGTGAGACAACCATAACTGCTGTGAATAACGCATCATTTGTCAGTTTGTGGGTATCAAATCCAGACATTTCAACAGTGGATTGTATCACCATATTGCATCACCCACTGAGTTACAGCATATGCTCTGTGACCACCTCAATTAATTGTAAGAATTTCAGAAGTTCTTTCCAATGACCAAAAATGCTAGATTTATACAACCTGTCAAAAGCCTTCTTTTTTTTTGGACTGAAATTGATTAACCCCATCTTAGAATCGTATCTATTATGTGTAAAATCCCAGCAAACCTGTGGGGAAAATAACACCTCTGCAATATACTTAATGTGGTTTTCATCTGTCCAGACAAGAGGGGAAAGCAAACCTGGGAAGCAGATTGACAATAAAAAGCCCTTAAGCATTACCAGCAGGAAGGTCAGTTCAGAGGAGACTTTCATAAAATATGTCGGCAGTTATCCACTGAGTTCCTGAAGATTTATAGTGTGAGGGGCCAAGGAGCAAAAACTGCATAGAGATAAAAGCTCCAAGCCCCTTTTTAAATATCTGTATCAGAACAATACTAAAACCATGCTAGTGGCTCTGTGAGGGTGATGCTCTTTGTAAAGAAAACAAGCCCGTTAGATAGACAAAAGCAGAAATCCACAGTTTGGTTTTGATCAGATTAGTAGTCATGGTGGAAGTGGAATGGCCACATGCTCTTAATAACATTAATAACACATGCAGTAAGCAAATGTCTACAATATTCAGTTAGTTTACAGGGTTTTCCTTGTATCTGACCTTTAGTGTAGCAATGTTTTTCTGATTTAATCAAGAAATAATCAACACCTTTATTGACAACGAAATCAAGCTCCCCCCACCGCTGCCGAGTCGTTATTAATCCTACTGCGGTGCTTTACGTCCACTATTTGATACCTGCTTGCGTTTTCCAAATAAAAAGCCACACATGCAGTATGTACATGTGTGTTCAGTATTAACACCTTGTGAGACAGTGCGGAGGATGATGAGTGTAGAGAGGATACGTGTGTGATGACAGGGGCTGCGGTAAAGGGGCCGGTTCCTGAACGGCCGGGCTGCCTCACTGCAGGACTTGGGCAGGTCTGAATCTTCACACTGCAACACTGCTGACTGGGCTGCAGGCTTTGACACTTCCTCCCCTATCCTCCGCAGAGTGGCAGACAGCGCTACATGCTGTGCAAAATACACACATGCACCCACTGGTTAGTGCAAAGAACATACTGTATAACAGTTCCTGCCCTCAGTTACTTCTGTTATACAACTGTCAAAAACAGGATGACATGCCCACAGTGGTCATCGAATGTGGGGTTCAAAAATACAAGGTCAGTGTGACAGGAAGCCGGCAGGTTTCTTCTCTGACTGAACTAATAACTCAGGGCAGTGAGCTACCTCTAATATTTAAGATTTATGTACTTCTAAAGCAACAAAGAGATGTTTCCATCTTCCAGTATTTGTTATCTTTTCCCTCCAGTTATGTATTGTGGCCCAACTCATGGTTTGTGTTTGACAACACATATTACAAGAGTAACTGAGCACGTGATTCCAGCTGGTCATCAACAATGTTGCTGAACGGATACGATATGGCCTGTGTTGTGTTTGGTTTCTGATTTCTGAGGGATGCACATTTTCAGTTTTTTTTTTTTACTACAAAGACCTTAATCGTGCAAGTAAACCTTAGAACTGCAAGGACACAGGAGGTGGTGATGGTGGGGGGGTATCACACCTTTATTGTTTTGAATTTTAATTTGTATTTCTTTTGTTTTATAATTGGGATCAAATAATGAAATGGTTAGTGATTATTTGGGACCACCTAAACTTGAATTTTGTTGCTTCTGGGGAAGAACAGGCCTCTTTTGGTGGATCTCTTTGTCACCGCCCCCTGCTCCAGTCGTCTGCTCTCCTCTGCTGTGCAGATGAGATGCAGCACATGTCAAACCCATGAAGAGGGCAGAAAAGAGTGTCAGCAGCTTGAGGGAAGTGCCAGCATGCCAAATTTAGTAAAATGCATAAGTGCTGGTACTGCGTATCAGCACAAGCCTGACCACTTAGAGCACTGAGATTAATAGAAACGCACACTGCAATACCAAGTCCAATGGTACCAAAATCCCAGGAACTCCTGCAAGCCCAAACACCAATAAATACGAAAGGGGTGGGCCGGAATATTATAAGCATCTTGCTGTAGAAATATAATCTTGTACATTTGTGCTGTTATTTTCTGACAGTGCAAATAATCTATTAAGAAAGGAGGAGGATGCTGCTGAACAACTATTTTTTCAGAGATAAACTGGCCCTCTTTCCAACTGATGCACCCTTTGGTCTCATGAAATATAACAGTGCTAGGCTGTGCTGCGATTTTGGCATAGTGATCTCAGACAGATCAGCAGGTCATGTGACACCATCTGTCCCAGAGATAACTCTGGCACACAGTCCCTACAAAGAAACAATAAGCTACTGGGAACTTTTCCTGAACATGACACATACTGCTCTTTGAAGTGTCACAACTTCAACCATTACCAGGGGTTTTAAGATCCAGACACTGCTAGGTGAAAATCTGCAAAAACTAAAAACAGAGAAGCAAATTTCCCACATTCTATTGTTACTGTAATCATTATGCTTATTACTACTTGCTGCAACAGCCCAGTTTACCCAGACATCTTTACCTGTGTGCTATTGTCCATGTGTCTCAAAACCCAGTGGATGAGGCGAAGAAGGTTTAGGAGTAGCTCTGGTTCTGAGAGAGGAGCATGATGAAGCTGATCTGCTAATAACGGCAGCACCTAAGAAACCATGGATAACTGAACTTTAATCCTAATAAATGTTTCTGAGGTCATGACAGCAAAAATCCAAAGACAAGCATGAAGCTACAGGGAACATGCCACCTTGAGGCATCTCTCATTGAGTACAACATCCAGAGGCAGACACTGGCCTGCACCTTTCCTTTCGTTCCCTGCTACTGATGAGAATGTCTGTCCATCAAGTACCCAGTCGAGCAGAAGGGCCAGGAGCTTTAGTGGCGTGGGACCGTAGCTGCCCTGAGGGAAGGAGGGTGAAATGATAAAGGGTTAAATAATACTGCTGTCATCTACAAAATGGTGACTACGGTTAGCATTTTGAACAGACCTCTATCATCCATCAGGTTCATATCTTGATCAGAAGATGAAAGAAATCAAGCTTTGAAAAAACATGACTCAAATTTAAAGCTTTATGTTTGAAGTTCGTCCATGGGACATACGGGCATTTTTCAAAAAGTAGGAACATTGCATCAAGAGTCTGATTTCACTGAGGAGCCTAAAGGTATTAATTAAAGTGTAAGAAAAAAGTGTGGTAATGGAATTAAAGTTTGGTTCAGTCAGTACTGTGAACAGAGACAGAAGAAGTTAGAAATGTCTCAAACTAAGTTCATCTTCATCCGCAACAGTGACGATAACAAAATCACAAACTTGATCATGCCTACTGGCAGAGTGGAGAGAAAGCCTGGATATGTTTTAAATGAGCATGTTAGTGTCTGGCTAACCATGCTGAAGGATGCACACTGTGTTGCTTTGTTTAATTCATAATAAATGAAGAACTACCGCCACAATTCCAGCAGAATCCGATGGCCGACAATACACGTAACTGTAAACCACACACAGAAATACATTATGTTGAAATACCTTGCTGCTGAGTCGTCCAGGAGCAACACGTTTCTCCTTTTTGGCTGGTTTAATACACTCTAGGCTCTTAGCACACACATTCTGACTGCCTCTGGATGCTGTGCTCTGTGCACATTTCCTCTGAGAAATCAATGAATAAATCAGTGAATGAAGGTATGAAAAGTGTCTGTTTAACCTTTAAACAAAGATAACAGAAATTAAAAATGAAGTTCAACTATTTCAAAGGTAAAAGATTATTAGTCTTAAATTATTCTTATAGTGAAAAAGCTTCACACAACATTCAGACCATCACGGGGCAGAAAGAAATCGATTGTCAGACCGATTCTACTTAAAAGTTCCATGACTCGGACCATATAACACAGAAGGAATGAACATCTGTGACCTGATTAATGTGCTCGTACCTGGAGGTTCTCAAGCCGAGCCTGCACCCTCTTGGACTGACTCTCCAGCTTCTTATTCTGCTCACTGAGCTCACTCAGCTGTTGATTTTAAAAATGGAAAATGTCAAATGGATGGATGGAACCAGTCAGTTTATTTACTTAGATACACGCCTATGGATTTTGCTTCTGAAGCAAAGAGAACTTAATTTAGCAGCAGCAAAAGCTCATGAAGTTTCCAACAGACAAGAAAACGAGTGCGGACCCAGTGATCATACATCACTGTTCTATTATTCAACATTCAAGTTCAAGATGACTATGTTATAGCACCCTCCTGTGGCCTATGCTACTAATTGCCTGGTAGGAGCCTTCAGCCATGACAAAAGGAAGATTTGATCAGTGGCTTTTAATTTTTGGATTATTGGCAAACTTCTGGCAGAGCAGATGGATTCAGATGGAACTTGTCACTGTCTTCATTTTGAATATTAATTATAAACAAAACGCACTGTACTAAATGTTCAGACCTATTACTATTATACATTACAAATGGAAACCACGATGCCTGCAAGTTTACACGCTGTGATAACACTGATACCTAAGAAGAGTTCAACTTCCCTGAGTTCTGGATGTTATGGTGATATGGCCAAAAATATTATCGGTATACTTTTTAATATTGGTCAGTATCAATAATTCTTATTAATACATATAACAAGAAGGGTGACACATTCAACAAACCACAAGGATACATATAGTACAATGTGTTTTAGTGTGTACTACTGAATATAAGAACATTTACAACATTTCAAGGAGCATATTTAGTTGAAGATCGAATTCTACATAAATCACAAGCTTTGTTACGGCTGTAAACAATCATTGAGCTTTGAATCAATAACTTGATATTCACTGTAGCCAACATGGTTTAACATTTGTGCTTATTATGCTCCTCAGCTGTGCAGCTAGACAACATGTCAGTAGTGGTGGTAAAGTGTGTAAAGCAGCGCTTGCACTTTCCCCTACATTCTGCTTAAAGCTGAGACAGCGCCGTTTGTTTATACCGAGCCAACCACAGTTTTCTGCTGTTCTCACTGACATCATGTCCTAAACTGACTGACAAGGCAGACAGAAGCGACTGCTGCTGGGGTTTAAACTAAAGCTACGACAAGAGGCTTGTTAGCAAGCTTGTGTCCTAGTGCTGCAGTCTGGGAGCACAGATGTTGATTCTCTGCACCGGGATGGTAATGTTACCTTATCAAATCATAGGTCTCTTGTGCTTCCTGTCATTGTCAGCACAGGTCAGCTGCATAGGTTGCAATGGGTATTTCTCTGGTATTAATGCAGCTTTAGAAACTCTGGCCATTTCCAAATAACTAGTTTTTACCTTTCCAACAATGTCTCTTGCTTGTTTTGGCCCTACATGTGTCAGCTACTGTATGTAACCCAACTGCTATGGCCTAATAGGATGATTGTTGACCCAGATGGAAATAGACACATTATCAACCAAAGATTACTTGTACACTTATCATGTACTATGTAATTTATCACACCACTGAAATGCCAAAAGCATAAAAAACACTTGCCAATAGTTAACTATTTACCGACTTTAACAAAACAAGCAGTTATTGTTTGTTGTTCAACACTTCCGACCTGTTTCTTCATGTTGTCATTCAGCTCCTTAATGGTGTCAAAGCTGGATTTGAGCCTCCTGTTCTCTTTGCTCCTCTCTCGAAGAAGCTCCTTCAACTGGCTCAGCTCCTGCTGGTGTTTCTGGCAACACATACATACACATTATCAAAATACAATCATGAAAGTCATTACGCTTCAGTGCTACATTATGCTGAATTTAATTTGCACAGTATGAAAGCCAGTCTGCATCATTCTGTTCTGATATTATTAAAGATTCTTTGTGACCAGGAAAGCAGTTATATAAAGTTGATTTGATTTGTTTAATTATGCGTGTTTATCTTATTACTTGATTTGGAAAGCATCAAAGGCTAAAAATGAAGGGTTTAGAGATCAGGTTGGACTGTGGCATTTCTTGTCTGTCAGTATGTCTGAGGTTCATTCATTTCTAGACTGTAGATGACAGATTGGTTTATTTATTAGAAAGATTATATTACACTTGTAATAATGCATATAAAATGCTGATTTAATTTAGGTTTCAAGGGAGAGTGTTGTTCAAGCTAATTCTGTCAGACCACAGACAATATATAAACAGAATTATGTTAAAACGTGATTAGGCAGTGCGTCATATCATTTTCAATGTTTACTTCCTGAAAGGAGACAAGTGGTACTGAGGAAGAAGAGAAAACAAGGTGTGGTGAAGAATGTAAAACCCATCCCTTGTATTGAATGTGACTGGATGAGTGTATTTGTGTCTGACCTCCTCCACAGCCAGTATGCGAGTGTGCAGCATCTCCTCCAGCCCGGCCACCCTCCCAAAAGCCTCCTCCTGTTGTTTTAGCCTCCTTTCTCGCTGGTGCAGCTGTCTTTCGCACTGTTGTTGGCTTTGTCGCTCTGCCTGTATGTGCGCGCACACACATCTTAATTTATGTTATATACAATATTCCTTCTCCAACATAAACTTCTGACTCAAAAACTCCAAACTACTCCTCATAATCACCTGTACAGGGAAAATGCAACAATAACAATAATACACAGGCAAACTTACATTATGATGCAAGTCGATGTGTAATGCTTGACAAACATGTGTAAGTGTCTTCCAATGGCACATACAGTATGTAACCATAGTCACACTGCTTTCCCCCTCTGAGTTTACTGGTGACTGTCATTACAACGATTCTACTCTCTCACCTTTAGCTGTTCATAGATGGTCATCATCTCCTGGTAAACCCTAGCTACTACTAAAGAAGAAGAGCAGCACGAGTCAGGGAACCGGGGAGCCCGCTCCAAATCTCTGTCTGTTTCTGTTTCAGAGGACCCAGGGCTACCATCCAGACAGGAAGGCAGAGTCACATCTAGACAGAAGTAAAATAAAGCCCAAGAACTGCTAATTATCAGTTGTATTTATCTCCAAGGCTGTAAAAAAGTCAGAAATTCCTCACATAACAGTAGACTAAGTAAATACAGCAATTTGCAAGAACACAACTCAAGGACTAAAGCCTGGGGTGTGATTTCTTTAATGCAAAATCCTATTAAGTCAAGAAATGCTTGGGAAAATTATTTCAGCATCAGCCAGTTCAGGTTTTCTGAAAGGTGATCAGTTGTCAGTTAGAGTCCAACACTGGTGACTGGTATCCTGCTCTGACACATACACACCTGTTTCAGTAAACAGCACATGAGAGTCCTGAAAAGGGGCAACTGTAGAATCCCCACTCAGGTCCTCATTACTGCCGTGCAGACTACGATCACTGCCAAATCTTAGAAAAGACACAATACTAATCACCAACATGTACATTTGTATAATTTGTAAGAGTAGTGCCATGAAACTTACTGGTCAGGATGGTTGGTAACTGCTTTGAACAGCTCATGTAAAGTTTGGCTGTAGTATTTCAAGACTTTGCTTGGTTGTTTGGATCTCTGAGCCAAAGTGAGCCTTTGTACTGCTTCTAAAATAGAGAGATAAATGACTCTGTGCCCAATCACAAGGGGTCAGTCATGTGATCATGAATAGGTTCATGTGTAGTAAACCCACCGTTACTGGTTCCTGGGGAAATATCGTCTGAAGGTGGCAACTGACAAGCAAGACAACACCTGTTTTAGTTTAAAGTGTCAGCAATCGGATTAATCACGACTATTATGTCAAAAGGGTCGATTTTTTTGTCGTGTCACTAAGTTACATTAAACTTTGACAACAAGCGACCATTAGAGCACGTTTGCACATAAAGTCATCAGACAAGCGGAGTTTGCCTCAGTTAAAATGTCGAACTCTCAAACCTGTTTTCTCCTCCTTAAATATTTCTGCTTAAGCTTCTCTGTTGTATCAGCTACTTCCGACTCGGTGCCTTGACATTCCTGGTTCATGTTGCTACTTTTTAACTATTACAGACGGTGATGTTAATAAAAGCTACACAGGTTGATTCCATACACTTTTAGCTAGTTCGCTAACAATAGTGTGAAGTAAAATGCAACAATTTCCGGTTGAAGCATCTGAAATAAAAGTCTTTTCATAAATATAACTTAATTTTTCGAATCATTGTGGTATACTATTTTGAAAATCCAATCCTTACGTTTCCGATATCACTCTACTTACGTAGATCAAATTAACGCAACTGCAACCAGCCGTACTCGATTTGGGAACCAAAACAAAATCCAAATTTGGCGGATGAATGAGCACGTCATGATAAAACTGTTTCTCAGTTCGAATAGCGCCTCTAGTGGTGGACGACAGCAACAACTAGTAGGCTATACTGCATACATAGAGTACATACAGTATATGGAATACGTATACTGTATAGTGAAGATTGTTGGCCGAACAGCTTATTTAATTTGTCACTTTTGGTTTGGTTGTCTTCTTCTCCCAGTGTAAAATACTTTAATTTTACCTGTTAGTAGGCTATCCTTTTAAAACTGCACTCCAGACCTATATGTTTGCTATTTATAACAAGTTTTTAGTGAGCCCATAATCTACTAATCTGTTCTGTCTCTTTGCCAAGTTCTAATGTTGTATTTACTGTATTTGTTTTTTTTAAAAAGTCAGCTGAACAACTTCGAAGAGCTGCTGCAGTTTTTAATGAAAGAGAGGAAATCTGATCTGAACCCTGAACTGGGCAGGGTTTTATAAATTAACTAATTTAATCCGTTTGTGATGTCCTCAGGCAAATGACTTTTTTCTGATGCTGATTGATGGAGTGACTTTCCCATTTAGCCACAGTGTAGTTGCACCAGTGAGCCAGTGAGTGTCAGTGCCTCATCAGAGACAACAGGATAAGGCTCATACAGTATATTCCAGTGAGCCACGGCTTGTCTTTGTGTAGTCAGTAAACTGTCTCATTTTCAGCTACAAGACTGATCCACATATTGGTACTCTATAAAGTTCATCTGTATACAATATGTTCAGTATAATGAACCCTTGAACTCCTGATATTTAGTCAAAAAAATAATTAACAATAATTTTGCATAATTAGTCAGATTCCTTAGTAATGGATATTAACACCATCATAAATTAAAAAATACATTACCAAAATCTCTCTGTCAACTCATTCTGAAGAGCTACAGAGATAAAAATAAACAATTAAATAAAGATATTAAAGTGAGTCTTTGTTTGAGATATTTACAGATTAACCTTGTTGCACTCTGAGTGCCTTTCTAGTCCACAGTATAGTAATTAGCCATTATGTGTGGCATGCAGTGCCAAGTTTGCTCTAGACTTGAACAGTCTGCAACTAGGCTTAAAGATTAATGCCCTTTTTCTCTTTGGCTAATTACCAGCCACGGCCTTTAATACACACTCTCCTGATTCAATCACTTTGCCCCTGCAGGCTTGACATGGAGAGAAATTGGCGAGAAAACATATTAACACTGATCTTCATTAATGAGCTATTTGTTTTGTCCACTTTGTATGGAAATTACTGTTCTGTTATATTAATTGGTTATAAAAGTTACTCATTCAGAGTTTTTGTCCATTTGTGTCAAAAAGAGACAGTATGTGCCTGTGTTTATAGGTTTGAGTTGGTACTGGGTTAGAAATAAAATCAGGTCAATGCTTAGTGTAAGGATTATGTTTTCGGTCAAGGCTGAGTTTATAGGCCATATAAAACAGCACACAGGGAGCAAGAGCAGCTGCAGAGATATTCATAAAGAACAAACATTTAACTCGACAACATGAGCATGTCTCTATATTCCCACTTTGTATTTTGACTAAAGCAATCCGCACATAATGATCAGATAATTAGGTTTGATTGTCACTGAACAGTGGGACATTCATATCAAATGCAATTATCATCTTTTTTGTTTATAGACCCCCGAGGCCCTTGTTTTTTGCATGCAGCTCAAATAATTTTTATTATGTGTGTTTGTCTGTGTACTGTATGTACTGTATGTCTGTGTGTGTAAAAACAGCGCAGACAGTCTAAAGGGATGTGGGCGGCAGTTATTGTCTGCACCTTCTGTTTTCTGACAAACAGTACAAACGCATGAACTAGCCCATGGGACACAACTAGACAAAAGCAATCAAGCCCTATCATTGAATTAGCAACATATTGTTGTATTGCAAAAGCAATTATCTCCTGTCTTGTGATACAAAGTCATGCACATACACATGCAAGCAGGCTCACACTCAATTAATGCAGCAGTGGCAGTGCTCTGCTGTGAAAATGATTGCTTTTCAATTGGCAAGACTCTTTGAGTCCACAGAGCAGTATTATGTATGCTAATGCAAGCAGTAAAGACGACTCTGGGGTTCAAGGAGGGCGCCCGAGCAATTACACTACCTCAGCGTCCGGACAAGACACTGCATCCCTGGGCATGTGAGGCACTTTTAGAGGCTTTTCTATATTAAAAACACCCTTCTGAAACATCATAGGGATACGCTTGTAAAAATGTAAAACAGTTAAGAGTGACACACAAGTATAAGGGGGCAATAATAGTCTTTGATAAGACGTTATGAATTTTGAATAAGGCTTGTGTTTCATCTCTGAGATATGTATCCATATTCACTTTTTCCCAATGTCAAGAGTCATACAAGAGCAGTAACCTTGAAGGCAGAAAGGAGGACTGCAGTGTTTTGCTCATAGCCACTTTCTTAGAATTAAAACATGGTATTTCATGGTAAATGGACTTGTATAGTGCTTTTGTTTGCATCTATGCACTGAGGCATAGTCAAAGCATTTTAACGCCATTTGCCCAATCACTCATTTGCTCACACAAGCATTCACACACTGGTGATATCACCAGGAGCAACTTGGGGTTCAGTCACTTGCTCAAGGACACTTTGACATGTAGAATCAAACCAGCAGTAATAAACTTTTTAAAGATACAGCACTTGATCCAAATGTAAACAAAGTTTGTAACTTCACCACCAGTTAAAGTGTCAGTTTATCCAAAGAAAATAAATATATTTCTAGTATCTAGTTATACCTAGTCATGCAGAAAATTCAGATTTTATGCCTGTGTATTAACAATACATACTCACAGTTGCTACTGTAGTTTATGCAACCGCATCCAAATCCTACTTCCATCCATCCATCCATTTTCCTCCACTTATCCGGGACCGGGTCGCGGGGGCAGCAGTCTAAGCAAAGATGCCCAGACTTCCCTCTCTCCAGACACTTCCCCCAGCTCCTCCGGGGGAATGCCAAGGCGTTCCCAGGCCAGCCGAGAGACGGGGCCTCATCCCGGTGGGACATGCCCGGAACACCTCCCTAGGAAGGCGCCCAGGGGGCGTCCGAAACAGATGCCCGAGCCACCTCAGCTGGCTCCTCTCGATGTGGAGAAGCAGCGGTTCTACTCTGAGCTCCTCCCGGGTGACCGAGCTCCTCACCCTATCTCTGAGGGTGCCCCCGGCCGCCCTGCGGAGAAA